GCTCGAGACGGCTCAATCATGACTGGTTCCACTCTGGCCTCCGTTTGCCATCAATATCTTTGGAGTGGAGCTTTTAGCATTGGAAACAAATAACGCGAAAGAAATTGTACCAAGCAACTTTTGTAAAATCTGTCAAATCAGTCAGACATCGGAATGCCGTTAAAACGAATAAGAGTGAAATGTCTTGCTCTAAGACTTTGAAGGCGATTTGAACATTTCGCCACACAAATTTCTATAAAAACTCTATATATGGGAAAGAAACAGTGTCAGTCTACATGAAAATAGTCCAACAAAACCTCAATCGTAATCTATATCTTCACAACCAAAACTAGAGTCTATTTGATGATCCAGTAGTTCCATCGTTTCGCAGTGGCTGCTGTCGCCCGCCGCGTAGAAAAACGTTTAGCAGATGGCGTAGCCAATTACAGCACAAAAGCTGAACTTAGGTTTTGCTATCCTTATGCTCAACTTCGGTACGATGCACCATGTCGCGGATTGGGCCCCCACCTCTCAAGTCACAGTACAACTGCTCTTCTGCATCGGCGAGGGGAGCCAGGGGTCCGCTCCGTGATAGAGTGGAACGTATCACTTGAGGTGGCTACCTGTGTGAATGCTACTTGTGCGTGCCACATGGGCACTCCATACACACGTAGAGGCCCTTGCCAAGCCTGCTTAGTAGCGACTCGTCACTTATGACTCGACCCATACCTCCAACCATCGACAGTTGGGGCGTGTACACTTAACCGTGGCACTTAGCTAGCATCGTGCCAGCCTTCTGACAGATCTTACCCACTAGGCTTGATTATGAAATACACGTGAATATAGATGACACAGATATACCCGGAGCCACAGCCGAGCCGTGGCCCACCGCTTCAATAGAATTCACACCTGTAAAATGCCCACCGTTTAACCGCAAGATCCCTATACTCAATACAGGATGAGCACAACCAGCCAGGTGTTATCCTAGGGGCCGGCAATATCGGAAACCCCCCCTCCCCCCGAGGCGGTGTTGCCGGCGTGTGCCAGGCGCGAGCGCGCTCGGAATTACCTCGTAGCGTGGAAGTCAGTCCTCCGTGGCGTAGATGGAAGCGACACGTAAGTTGAGGCAGTGCTGATCGATCGATGGCTTGAAACGATTGGAAGTCGACCTCTCACGATGGCGACAGCAGCGAAGAATGACTACGTGACTTATTTAAACGCTGCGCAGGTGAGAGAGGTGAGAGGCGGGACAGCGCGAGGACGGCGTTTTGGGACCCCTTCGCAGCGCGGCGGCGGCAACCTTTGAAGGAAGTCGCGAATCCGCAACATGCCCTATTTCCACAAAGCTATCTCGCAAATACTGGAGGAAATTTACCCTATCTCCGCAGCCCAAAAAAAAAGACGCGGCTTCACATGAGCTGGTAACCATCTTACGACAATTCTCGACAAATACAAGTGAATTCTTTTTTGCATGCAATTGGCGATCTGATAGATTACAAAACTGGGATTGATAGACAACCGCATAGTGCCGAATATATCAAGCTGAATCAAGAATATGTTCGCTTCGTTTCCAAAGAAGCGTAACTTTTTTCTATCACAAAAAATTTGCTTATTTTAATCCTATTGAACAGCTTAAAGCAAGTAGTTTCCATTAGTTGCAGTAGGCTTTCTACTTAGCTCATATTGCAGCATAAAAATGAAAGAAGAAAATTTCCCGAAGTCCGGGAAAGCGTGTTAAAATCTAGAAACTAAGCGATTCCAAAACAGAATCCTACGTTTACTAATATCTTCCTTCTAGCTGAGCAGGATTTGTGCTGATAAGCTAGTCTCTAAAAAATTATGATTCTCGAGAAAAATGTCAAAAACAGCAAAAAAGAGAAGATTTACTTTTCTGGCAATCTCTTAAAAATCACTTCTCAGAGAGTGGGTCGACAGCACAAATTTTGCTAACAAGTGAATGGTCAGAAGTCGAAGTGGCCAATCCAAACAAGCTGCATACCGTTCGATGCAATTTAGAAAGCTGATTTCAAATCCGTCTTTCATTTCTGCAGAGCGCCTTTGTAAGGGAAGTTATGACCAGCTTTAGTGCGAAAAAATCGTACAATTGCGAGATTAATCACATTATTGCCCTTTTCACTCACCTCTAGGTACGGGCCATATCAAGTGATATGTATTGGTCTAGCACTGAGCCGAGAAAGGTTCTGTACGGCCAAGTTTTCCCTTTACACACAATTTCTTAGCAGTATAATGGCCTTTTACGGCTTATAATTCCATTCACAAAAGTGGTCTGCAGATAAGGAAGACAAATTTGGAGTCAGCGTTTTATGCTGATCTAATGGTAGGCAGCTTGCTTGAATTGGCCACTTTGATTTCTGACCATCCCCTTGTAAGTTTCAGGAAATCAGAAAATTTGGAACATGGCTGTTTTTTATTTGAACGCATAGTTTTGGATTTTTAACAGTTGCTCAAAATCGCCAGACTTCGGATTCCTTTCCATTTCTGTTTCTGATTATTTAGTGAAAATTCTCTGGACAACTATTGAAAAGTATATGCCCTACGCTTTTTAACTGTATTTGAGTTGAGCAATACCGATGTAACAGAAAAGATTTAGAATTTTTTGAAACGGCGTGAACGAATTTCCGGTCCAATTTAATACACTTCTATCTTTTCGAGTGTTGAAGTTTCTTCGTTTCTTGCGTATGCAAGATGAAACCTACAGCATGATCCTTTGAAACCATTTGTTTACCAAGAACGAGTTATAAACGATCGTGATCGCAATAGAGAAAAGGTAATTTGCAAAATGTGAGTGTTCTAATTGTACGAACCGAAATGAAAAGGCAGAGTCAAAAGAATGGCATAGAGAATGTTTCTATTCAAACATATTCAATCATAAACTCGTTATTCAATGTATGCAATAATTTAGTATGCAATATTTTAGTCCCCTGCAAGAGTGTTTGGTGTACTATACACTCAGTGCCATGCAAAATCTTTTGGCAAGTGTACAAAAAGACCGTGACTGGGTCACGACGCTACATGAGACTTACGTAAATTTAGACATATGAGTCGTGCTAATTTTGTAACAATGATTAGAAGTATTCTCTGAAAAGATTTGTGAACAGGAATGGCCAAGTTTTCGAAACTTTTACTTTTACTAATTGAATCAAGGTTATTCTCCAAAAAGCAAAGGATTGAGACAATACTAATGTTGCTCCATGCTGGAACAGGGTCAAGCGTGTGACGCGACTGTCGCAACGGGGGCTCGTAAAGTGGGCAACTAAGGTGGGGAGGGGGTCGTAAGAGAAGATAGTTGGCTGAAAACCGTAGGCTTAAAAGGAAATCAAAGAGCAGATAACCAGTACATGTTTTTCAGAATAAATTTAGAAAAAAATAAGAATTAAGAATACTAAGGATAAAATACTTTTACAAATTCTCAAAAAAACATTTTCAAGAGCTCAAACATTTTCGAAGGATGTAAGATTTAATAAAAAATCGAAATGTATTAATTGGCTTAGGAATCTTGCTTCCGAAGCCTCACTGAAGTCTCACACACTCGACAAAAGCGCACATGTAGATCAACGATGACAATCAATAATTCGTAAATCTTTTTGTCATGCCATTTATACGGCCCTTACAATTTATGCGTACTTTGGAAAGCCCTGCTATTACTGTGCGAAATCTGGTGTTATTTTGTAAACTGTGGATTTTCTTATGATTTTATGTATGGTAGCAAAAAATCAGGAAAGAGGGGTCGTATCTGGGTCGCATCTAAGTTTCTTCGGAGCTATCGAAGCTTGTTGGCTGCAGTTTTGCTGTAATATGAGACCATCCTCCTACTTCCCCTCATAAAAATTGAAGGCTGTTTTATAACTTTTCTGGTAAGTTACAAAATTTCAAGCTCAAAAATCCCAGTTTTTGCTTTTTAGGATCGCATCTAAAATGGGGGGTCGCATCTAAATTTTTTCGAGGTTTCTGCTCCTCAAGGGATAAAACTTTCATGCTACAGATCCTCTACATTGCAGCCTTTCAGTCTTTTCCTGCCTTTATTTACGAATTTTCAAACTACCGTGCTCATGCATGTTTTTGACATCGTTCTGGACGGCATTAAAGCGGTTTTTTTCGCGAGAAAAACTGTGCAAGTGGTAGGAAGTAAGCTTCTTAGTCGAAAACATCTTTTGTAGTTCAAGAATGTCATTATTTTTTCCGTGCAGAAATTTGTGTCGCATACGGGAATCGAATTTGCTGGTCTAAAGTATGCCTGAAAGCTCAGAAAAAACTTGCAGAATCTCAAACACTATTGAAGGTGTGTATGTGTGCTACAGATGCTGGGCGCACCTTGGCCTAGAAATTCTGCTTCCGAAACCTCACTGAATTTCTCACGCAGGTGATTTTGAGATTGACATTCGTTCATGCAGATTACCGCGAGGAATATGGGCAGGGGAGCTAAGGGGGATAGATGGGGGAGGGTGGGGGAAGGGGGGGGGGTCGTACGGATGGGTACCTTCAAGGGGGGGGTCGTAAATGAGGGTCCCAGATCGGATCAACACGCTTGACCCTGGTTGGAACTGTCTTTTGACTGCTCCATAAAGTGCACAACCTCTTAATAAAGGACGAAGAGGATAGTGAGAAATGCCTCCCCGCTTTGGTAGCCGGTCGGAACCCAAAACTATTGGGAGAGAAATGTACTGTTCCAAATGCCAAACTCACAATGAAATTTTTATGCACTTACGGAATGATTGCTTGATGTACTCTCCTCATTGCTTACACAGGCACGCAAACATCGCTGTTACATACATTCAAGTTCACTAATTTTCTACTGTTTTAATCTTTTGGCAGTAGAATAGCTGGAATTAGTGCGAAAAGTGCTAAGTCGTTGCGCTGCCTACATTAAGAGGATTATTTTCATTTTTAGCGATGGCAATTGTTTTGCAATTTGCTATTATATCAGGTACTTTGAAGCGTCTAATGTATCATACAAAAGAACTCGAGTGTTATGGTATCTTATCCGCGCGTGAGGGTTGAAGATGCAAAGATTTTGTTGGGATCTTGTCATCAAGCAGACAAAAGCGCCATACCGGAGGGTCGTTTGGAGAGGTAAGTAAGGGGGGGGGGAGGGGGTGGGGGTCATATCGACCCAAGTTCAAAGGCGGTTTCTAAGGGGAAAAGCACTGCAATAAAATTTTTAGATGTGCCACGGTCTTTCCCAGTTATCTCTGATAACTCAGCCAATGTGGCTGTGAGAAATACGAAATGGACTCTTGGCCTGACGAAAGTACACTTCAAAAGCTGTTAAGTAGCTAGCAAGTGCATTACCAAGTTGCCATGACGAAAGCAATGCATCCTGCAAAATCCAAGCACATTCATGGCACCAACTTGCAGATGCCGTACGTCTTGCAGTGTCTATCGTATACCTGACAAAGAGGCCCTAGCACGCTAATCAAAATCATTGTCGTAATCAGCATGTCGGATAAACCAGATGCGCCAATTTCAGCGAACTCTGGGGTCTCCTAATAGTAAACAAGCTTGTATAAAACAGTAATTTCAAATATGATCAACTTTATTTCAAAGGTGAGTAAGCTATCTCTTTTTGCACTCAATACAAAGCACTACCCCTTCTTTCCTTGCTCGAAAAATCCCACTTCAAAAAACCTCCAAGCTATGGAATTAGAAGACTGCCAAATCCTACCTTCAAATTTCAATGGTTGCGCTTTCATCGACTGTAACTCACGCTAAAAAAGAACAATCCGGCTCAAATTTCTCTTATATGTAATAAGAGGTTCATCTTTCCAACCGTGTTCAAAAAGTCTGCCAAAAAACCCTTTGAAGGTAAGTTAATGGGGTGTGCCCCCCATCTCAAAAGTTGTGGCCGCCACAGCTTTAAGGAGGGGGGGGGGAGGGATGCCACACCCCATTGACCGTTCAAACAGCTGCCTATTTCATATCATCTTTATGATTCATCCTTTCTCTCTCCATAGTAGCAGTTTCCCTTCGAACCCTTTTCTTTAGAAGGAGATACATATGGTTTTTGCGAACCATATACACGGATGTGCGGTCTGAAAATATTGGTTACGGTAGTGCTCGAAAAATTGTCAACACACAAAGGCGCGAGATTCGCGCCTTTGAATCCCACTTTTATCGGGCTGTGATGTTCTCGCTTTTTTCGTTCTTTTTCTTTACTTCCTTTCTTCTCTCATGTTCTCTGTTATGTTTTCATGTCTTTCAGTTTTTCCTAGATGAGTTCCAGCTTGTGGAAGGTAGGAGGTTATGTTTGACAGGCGATCTGCATCACAACCTGTCGAAGAAGCTGAGGAGTAGTTCCGTAGATGTTGAGTCGCCACCTGGGGACGATGAACTGGATGCTAATGTAAACACAATTATACACCAATTTATCTTTATCTTTTATTCATACTCAACGGTTCTACATGTTAGTGATAAATACCGTGATGATTTTGTCTGAGGCTTCCGTTAATCAGTATGTGACCATATATGCATGTTCTGTTCGCCTCCATTCACGAGAATCCATAAGTAGTTCTTGCCATTTACGAGCAGATTCAAAGACATTACAGTGCTTTCGTATGTCGTCTTCCCATCTAGTTCTTGGTCTGCCATCACCAAAGCGTCTTCCGACAGATGGTGTCCAGCGCGTGAGAATTTTTGTCCATCTTTCTTCACCTTGTATCCTATAGATTTTCCCAGCGAACCGCCACTTCCTTCTCCGTGCCGCCGCTACCACATCCTTCAACTTCGTTATAGAACGAATCCAAATTGAAGATTTGGAGTCCTTCAGTCGAAATCCAAGCATCAGCCTTTCCATTGCTCTTTGGCATCGGAGCAGTTTCAGCATTGACTCTCTAGTGTTTGCCCATGTTTCACAGCCATACAGAAGTGTTGGAAGGATGATTTTGTTGAAGTAGTGCCGTTTTAGGTAAACAGCTACGTTTCTTTTGGTGAGAAATCTTCGTATCTTGCCAAAAGCATTCCATGCCATCCCAATACGTCTAGAGATTTCTTTGTCGTGATCGCGCGGGCATTGCAGTAGCTGACCAAGATAGACAAACGAGTCTACGCGCTCGATGGTGTTGCCGTTTAGTGTAATTGTTGAAGTTCTCCAAATGCGATCTCTGTCCTCTCCCATCCATTTTGTTTTCCCTTCATTCATTTGAAGCCCAATTTGCTGACAAGCCTCAAGAATTTTCACGGCCATTGACTGTAATCGAGTTGGGCAACGACTTATAAGCACAACGTCATCCGCAAATGCAAGGTAGTGAAGTTGTTTTCCACAGATATCATAGCCATCTCCATCTTCCCAGTGGACAGAATCAATTGCGAATTGAAGGCACGTGATGAAGGTAAGCGGCGATAGAGCATCCCCTTGGCGAACTCCTCTCCGTATTTTGAATGGAGCATTGGTTTCATCAGATTGAAGCGATGCCGTAGCTGTTTGATACAAGAGTCGTATCATTGTTATTGTGTCGGTATCAACTCCATAATGGGCAAGAGCTCTCCAGATTGAGTCGAACTCGACGGTATCGAACGCTTTCTGTAAGTCGAGAAAAAGGAATGCGATGGGTAGATGGTATTCATGCGTTTTCTCAATGAGTTGATTGATAGTTTGTAAATGCTCAGTGGTTGAGAAACGCTGTCGAAACCCAGCTTGCTCAATAGCCAGATATTTGCACACTTTTTCTTCGACTCGACAGGCCAGTGCTCTCGTCAAGACTTTGTAGATTGTGAGTAAGAGAGAAATCGGTCGATAGTTGTTAATATCATGGCGGTCACCGCTTTTGTGAGTATCAAGGAGGCATGGGCGAAGTTGGTAGGAATGTGATTGTCTTCGAACATTCGATTGATAATATTTGCAAGTTGGGGTGCAACAACTTCTACACCATACTTCGCAGCTTTAGAACGAATGCCATCAATTCCTGGAGCAGTGTTTCCTCTAATCTTTGAAGCTGCTTTCCTTAGTTCATCGGCGCTGATAGGATGAGTAATAGTTCGTTGGTTGTGGAATGGAAGCGTGGTCCCGCGGGCCGCGTAGAGTTCAGCGAAAAAGGTATTAGCAAGTGATTGAGCTTCTGTGGAAGTGCTGGTCATAGTCCCATCTGGCCTCCGCAATTGACATACGACTTCATGTTGACGGATAAGCTCGAGACGGCCGCGTTTAATACGATTGCGTTCGATAGCTCGTTTTAAGACGGAACAGTGATGCCGATAGAAATCGTCCTTTATTGACCATCGCGCAGTCTTGCAAACAGTTACGTAATCAACATGAGCGTTTACAGCGTTCGTCTGCCTCAATCCATACTTCAGTTCACGTCTTAGAAGAAGAAGAGATCGAGTTCGGTTAGATCGTTCCAGCGGCTCCCAAGAAACTTTGGCAAAATCAGCAGCATCTCGGATAGATTTACACAGTTGTTGCCAAGAGTAGCCGGGTCAGTCGTAGTAAGTGTTGAGGATGAAAGTTTGGTAATCCGTTTATCACTAAGCAATGCCGCTTTCATTTTTATCTCACTATAGTCTGGAGGCAGTTGACGAGAACGGAGATGGAAGCGTGTCGTGCGAAGATTCACATCGGCTCGAATAAGACGGTTATCGCTCCCCGCGTTAAACCTATTCAGAACAGCAACATTAGTTATGACCCGTGGTTGGCGCGTCAATACATAGTCGATCTCTTCTAAAACACTTCCATTAGGAGAGCGCCAAGTCCACCGTCTCCTTTCAGGCTTTTGGAAAAAGGTATTCATTATATAAAACCTTTCCGATTCCGCAAATTCCACTAATGCCTGCCCTTTGCTGTTTCGTGATCCGTAGCATTTCTGACCCACAAACTCAGATCGCATTCTTTCTCCTCCTACACGTGCGTTGAAATCGCCAATCAAAATGTCGTGTGCATAACGCCCTTGTGATATCGCGCTGTGGAGCTCATCGAGAAATTCTTCGTATTCTTTCTCTTGCCAAGAAGCGTATGCTACAGTTACTCGTAACGATTTTCCGCGCAAAACGAAATGAATTTGTAGTAAACGGTCGGAGAGGAACTTTACGCCTGCGCAATGTCGATGTAATCGCTTATTCACAAGTGCCCCAACTCCCCTGCGAGTAAATTCTCCTCCGGTTCGCCCGCTGTTGTAAAAGTTTAATCCAGAAGACATGCGCTTTGCATGGAAGTTGCCGCTGCGGCGTGTTTCGCAAAGGCCAACAAAATCAAATTTTATCAGTTGTAATTCTTCTTCAAGCGCTGTCAGTCTTTCCTCCGATGACAACGAACGGATATTCAAAAAACATACTTGAATCTGCTCTCGGCGTCTCTGGATCCTGCTCTTCTTGACTTCAATGGATGCCATACGGTAGGCCAGCCACGGCTTCTTCCACCGGATGCTTCTTTCCTATCCTTCTCAGGATTCTTCTATTCTTCTTCTGAGATATATGCCAGAGCCACAGAACAGCCGACCGTTCAAGGGGAGCTGGGGGAGGGAAGTTATACACCAATTATACAGCGAAAATCGCAGGCCAAAAAGAGCACTACTTCTGGTCCTGCTCCTTCCACCTGCCCCTGCTCCAGCTCCTGCTCCTGCTCCACCGCCTCGTACATCGAACCAGAAGTGAGTATTAGTCAGTTAGTTGAGTAGTAGCATCAGTTTTAGTTTGAAGTTTTTATGAACTAAACTTTTAACTTTAACTTCTAACTTATATTTTTTATTTTTTAGTTTAGTTTATAAGTTTTATAGCTTATACTTCATAGTTTTTTATTAAATTTCTATTAATTGAGTACGGAAATGTAGATTTTATTTTTAGGAATCAATAGAAGGGGAAGTGGATATAAAAGGAACTGAGCTGATGGGGCACGAAAGCGAGATTATTACTTTTGCCGAAGCTATAGATGTTGTTTTGGAGGAAGAGGTACCTGATGGAGATGAAGACGATCAGCCGTCATTGTTGGAAAAGAGCGCAGAGTGAGTAAACGCTATTCTCTTATTTTCTTCCACTCATATTCATTACTAGCTGCGGTCCTCGGTCCCGCCCGGGCCGAGAGTCCAGAATGGCCCAGCATAGGGTGTGCTTCAAGATGTATACTTACCAGTCCTCCACTTTCTTCAGTTCACATCTTCTGTGACTCTCCTGCTTCACCTCCTTGTCAGTTCCAGCGCTCGTGTAGTATCCGTGGTGAATAGTCTTCTTTCTTGATCGGCTCGCTTCATGACACCGCATGCTCCTCACCGCAAAGTGTAAATGATCTCTACCACCCCTTACTACTTAAGTTGGAGAAATGAATGGTATAGCCTTCATTTTCCTAGATTTTAGTAAACAAAATCAATAAATCGATAGAAGGACCCAGCGAACTGTCGAAAAAAGTAGCCTATCTGATGCGCCGTGTCTCATTTATAGGGAAACAAAATTCAGCCTCTTTGGTTCATATACAAAGGAGTCTATAAGCCACAAACATCCTAACAAACACGGTACAGTGTTTGAGTTTTATATATATATAGATTTTCAAGACGAAAAAGTTCACGAGGGAGGCTTCGTGAACACAATCCTGGCTCTGCTCTTATACCACGAGGTTGGACTGGATTGAACCATGATTCGGATGGACCATGATTCATTCATTTTTTTCTTTCTTTTTTATTCATACGATTTTTAGTTCAAAAAAGTAGGAGTAACGGAATCTAGAGATCATTATGCGACTGCCATTCCTGGGTATTGGGCATTTTAGCTATTACCTTCGCAAAGAGCGCATTGTCGAACTGTTAACGGAACATGCTGACATAGACGTTATGTAAGTACGCTCCAGACAATTGCACATCTTACGTTTTTTTGTGGCAAAAGTAGCTTTTAGGTTCAAACAAGGATGGATATCACATAAGCCACCTAGGCTATCTCCACTAGTATCAACTAAGGCATGTTTTGCTTTTTACGAAGGTTCGACAGTGAGTTCTGTGAGAAAGTTGTCAAGCGATGAATTGAAGTCATGGAGAATTACTGATACGTCTTCTCATCGCCTTCAAATTTAGAACCGGTAAGGTGAGGCTACCAAGCCCTATGTACGAAAGCATGCGATGACCAGGGAAGATGGACGCTTACTCCCATGCAAAGGTGATGGGCGAACACCCTGAGTTTCATCTTACTGTGTACAGCGCATAGCTTCCGAGTCTGCTAAGACTCAAGAAAAAGGTATTTGGATTGTGAACCAAATTTCTGTTCATTCTTCAGAGGCATTATAGATCTTCTATGTAGCTCGGTAGACTGGCCAGATAGTGAGAAATGTTCTGACTTTATACGATTTTACAGTGCCTGGACAGATCCCTTGAATTCTGAACTTAGCACATGGAAATGATGCGTTGAGAAAATGCAACAAATGGATTTGCCCATGTAGGAGTTGCCAGTCGCGGATGCAGAGAGTCTGGTATACTAAATTTTGACTCAGTTTAGGCAGAAATTGGACTGGCGGTTCGCTTCGCAACGTTTCGCGCCGTTTTGCACTCTGCGTCTCTTAATTGTAATCTATCTCCCTGAGCCAGTGGCGGTACGGACGCGCTGCTCCACATGGATTCGCCTACTCCGGATTGAAAAAGACCGTGAGTTAGATAATCATCGTGTTTTTTTTTTTGAGATAAAGCTATCTTTTCTCTTCTTTGCTTATGTTCTAAAAATCTCAAATGTGTTGGCTTAGACGTTACATGCAGCATACGAAAGTTTCTTGCTTATCTTGCCGATGAATAGAAATGTCCATGTTGAGACTCGACACTTTACGGTTTGTCGAAAGAATCGTACTTGACGTTCGTGAAGAGAAATTCCTTGAAGTTTATCCAACAGAAATTGGATGGGTCAACAACAAAACACTGTTATTGAAATACCTCATCAATTACCGACTTTTTTGTAAGTCAGAAATTTTTTTGATAAAGCAATTATCTGGCTTGATACAAAAATGAGGCTGGCTATTTGGACACGCACGTACCCTTCCTTCCTCTCATCATTAAGGAAAGAGGGATGTTGTTCATTTTGCACCAGCAACACTCGTAGCGGACCACACCATCACACTGGCGATAGTTTGTGGCCATGAACTTTACAAGATAAGTAGTGAGTAACCTGTACACAACTTTCGTATGTGTTTTTAGGAGCGTCAGTGCACAACCGCGTCCGCACAGTGAAACGAGCGCTGATGCAAGTCCAAAGGGCGTTAGGGGGTAGAGAATGGGGGGGGGTCGTGCCGGGGTCCGAGCCAAGGGGGGAGGGGTGGTACCCGGCGGTCGTGTGCCACACCCCCCGACCTGGTTATAACTCTGTCTTTGCATGTGCGTAGAATGCGTTTTCAGCCACAGTGGTGAATAGCCAGGAATTATTATATTAGAAAAAAGCTATAAAATTTTTATAATTTTTCAACTATATTCATGCGGAACATAAAGATCAAGTGATGCAAGCCTTTCTTGAATATTACTATGAAAGTGAAGCATAAGACGCTTTCAGGTTAGAAGCCCATTTACTTAAAAGAGTGAGGCCGAAGGGACGAAAATGAGGAGAGAAGAAGAGTGAAATGGACCGAAGAAAAAAGTTATGCACCGGAATAGGAAGGGATCTGGGAAAGATTTCATATCGTGGTGCTCCGCAGATCCAGATTTTAGCTGTCTGTTATCCTCAAATATTAGGTTGATGCAAAAGTTCTTTCGCACCAAATTCAAAAATTCATAGCTTGTTGAATTCTCAACGAATTTACAAGGTCTGACTTTCGTATAAGAGAAAAGCTCAGGTCTTTGCACGGGTACTTGAAACGTTCGCTATCGAGAACAGATAAAGGAGATTGAAGTTGAAAACCAAAATCACTCAAAATTTGAATTTTTCGTGGGGGGTCATAAAAATCGGAAACTTGCAACAAAAATCGGAGCAGTCAGTATTGTAGGTTTTTTCACAAGCTCTTTCCAACAGTGCAAAGATTGCGCCGATTGAGCGTCTCAATAAAAAGTTATGATTTTCGAGCAAGCAATACAAAGAGAATTTGATTTATTTTGGCGTTTTTCAGGGAATTCATAACTTTTTACAGAGACGCTCAATCGGCGCAAACTTTGCATTGTTGGAAAGAGCTTATGAAAGAACCTACATTACTGACTGCTCCGATTTTTGTTGCAAGATTCCGTTTTTTTATGACCCTACACGAAAAATTTAAATTTTGCGTGATCTTGGTTTTGAGCTTCTATCTCCTTCATTTGTACACATTAACGAACAGTTTAAACAAAGTTGCAAAGAGCATGAGCATGAACTCCTCTCTTATACAAAATTTAGATCTTGTAAATTCGTTGAGAATTCAACAAGTTATGAATTTTTGAATTTGGTGCGAAAGAACTTTTGCATCAACTTAATATTTACCTCCCTTTACTATAAACATATCGAACAGAACGATATTACTGTATGAGTCGCATTCTTCGCCTTTTGTAAACTATTTTTGAAGAAAACATTTCAAAATTGTGCTTATTATCTCACTTAGCAGTTTTCAGTGTGTTTTTGATGAGAACAAATGAAGGTTGAAACAGGATCAGGCGTGATTGTGGCAGCCATACCTAAGAGGGGAAGGGCGTCGTGTTGAGGGGCCAGAGAGAGGAGGGAGTCATGATTAAAGTGACATTGATGCTGTTGAAAGCATGGTTTTGTTAACAATATGCCAGATGAATCTCGCAAAAACACAACACACTGAGATATTAACCAATACTTCTTACTGGCTCAAATTGAGAACTGGCCTATACAACGCAAACTGTGAGTTTAGGGGCCCGCCATGATTTCGTTTATCCCATTTTCGCGCTGAGGGGTTCTGCTTCTAGCGAATACCTACAGTGCTGACATGATTATAAAGACATTCTAAAAATCGTCGTAATTTTCGTTCTTGTCAATGAATCTGTCTGAAACTTTGCTGTAATGCCATCATGACCCCTCAAAACGGCTTTCAATCTTGTTAAATTTGAACGAAAAAAAAAACAGAAAAATTCGAAAAAGTTCTTAATGAAAGCTGGACAAATTTATAAATACATTTGGTTCTTTCAATCATTGTCGCATTCCTTGACCCTTTTTTTGCGCGGTTAAATTCTAAAATACGCAATATTTGCAAGACCTACGGTCTGTCATCCTATTCAAATATAAACGGTCACTGCTTTTATGCTCAAAAGGATGAAAAGTCAATGCTTAGGAATTTTTAAGCTCTTGTTTTTCGAATGATAGTCATAAAATCTACTGAACCTTCTTTATAGATGAGATGAGGAGCTTCATAAACTCTGCGTAACCGCTAATACTGACAGACAGACTCCAACCTCACCATAGGGTGACCTCGCTTTTACTTTACAGAACTCGATTTTCAAGCAACAGACATACTGTAATATAGCCATTACGACAGCTAGGCAACAGTGAACTTGTGTGCATGACCAGGAAAAAATGTCGAGGTTGAGCATCCTGGTCCATCTGCAGTTAACATCCATTGGATCTTAGTGGAGCACCATGCACGATCGTAGCCAACCCAGGTCAATAAAACAAGAGGCGTTTGAACTTCAAAATTTTAGCCAGTCTTATTCATCGGTTGAAATATGACGTGAAACACGAGGGGATATAGGAAGATTAGTAACTGTCAAATCTTCTGCTCGCAGAAAATTTTCGGAAAAGTTTTTCAGATCCAAGTCGCTATTGCGTCATTAAGGAAAAAAAAAGGAAAAAAAGGGGAAAAAATGATTGAAAAACCAAGCGTCTTCATATTTTGTTCAGCTTTCATTACAAACTTTTTCGAATTTTTCTGTTTTTCTCCGTTCAGCGAATTCTAGAGTGTCTTTACAATTATGTCCAACGCTGTAGAAAAATATACGAATTGGACTCAAATCAGTACTGCGAAAGCTACGTGACTAGTTTACTACAATTAGTGTGTCAAGAAAATATAGTTTTTTGTTTACTTTCTTTAGCAAAACAACCAATTCCAGCCTAAGAAAGGTCAAGCAGTACTGTTCAATAGAGCAAAACAGGCCTTACATGACGACATTCATGATTTCGCGCCAAATTGGATACTTAATGTTAGAAAGTTCGAACTCAAGATCTAGAAGGTTCTAAATGCCCAAAAAAACCTTAGAATATCTTAGTCCAAAAAATTTTTGGGGACTTCCCACTTGCATATAGAAATCAATTTTTTCGACATCAGACATCCATATGCGTAGTAGCTGTATTTTTTCCTTGACTAAAAACAGAGAAAATGAAAATTTTCATGTTTTTTTTTCAAAGCAATGCTGTGCCGCTCTCACCTGAGCAATTCTATACTACTAGCCTAAGTAATTATAACTCTAAAATTTTTAGCCTATTTCGAGCGATAATTTTGGAGAAACATGATATTTAGCTTTCTTCTCCTGAGTTTCAGTGCTGAATCCAACATTTCTCGAAAACTACAGCTCGGAATACATCAAAAAGTTATACTAAAGTTATACTTACTTAGGCTTGTAGTATAGATGTACTTGTGTAAGAGCGGTTCAGCATCGCTTCAAAAAAACAAGAAACTTTTCATTTTTTCAGTTTTTTCGAAAAAATACAGCAATTACGCATATGATTCTTCTCCTATAATACGAACCGGATCCTAAAAAACGAGA